AGGGTCACTCCAGCGCAACATACTTATGCTCTCCAAGGCATTCCATGTCATTTTCCCTGCCTAGGCTTGGAATGGCTCGGAGAGCATGGATATGTAGCTCTGGAGTGCCCCTCTTCCTCACCAGACCTCAACCCTGATATTCTTCCCAAACAGTCGAGACTTCTTCAACTGATGCACTGTCACTAGACTCGCGGATTTTAACATGATTCTAACAATGAAAGGATGCTCAATCGACCGTGCTCTGTTACCCTAAGTTTCGTGGCGGGTATGCTAGATTTTGCCACTCTATACGTGATTTCACCCTACTCTGATTCGACGAAAACAACCCATGATAAGCCAAGACCATTCAACTAATGGCATCTTTGGACACCCTTCGGCTTGGCTAGTCTCAGAGATTACATTCAATCTGAATTCGTGCACAATACTTATGCATACGCTCAAATACTTCGCAATTTTCCTTGTGCTCACCCCCTTATGCAAAATGGTGGGTCAAGGAAGAGTGCGAGAAGCTTCATGCAAAGGTCTGCACTAACCACATAGATAACATGCCTAGGAGGGTGTGGATGGTGATCAACGCCAAGAGTAGGTGGACTAGGTACTAGAAACGTTGTTAGGAAGTTTGCTCTTTGTCCTGGGAAAAAACTGTCCGGATGTACTCGTTGTATATCTTTTGGAGTATGAGTTAGATCCAATGTACTAATCTAGTTCTCAGTGCAGTGAACGCATCCACTTTGTGCCTCTCCCAACGTGTACCACCGTGCATCTTGCAGGTTTACCATACAGTAGTCTCAAAGCCTAAAAACCCAACTTAGTGCCAAACATCCGGACGGTTTTTTCCCTCAGTGTACCAACACATTTATTAGCTTCCCCTCTGTATCCTGCCTTGCATTGACAGGTTGCTTTGCCTCCAACGTCCGCACATTCTTCATTCCAGTTACACCACTTGACTGCGCATGTTTCTGGCAGGGGATTTCGAGGATTGGTGGAGATAGAGAAAGGGGGGGGGGGGGGGGGGGGGGGAAGAGAGACAGAGAGAGGGAAAGAGCATGAGAGAGAGAGAGAGAGAGAGAGAGAGAGAGAGAGAGAGAGAGAGAGAGAGAGAGAGAGACCGTTCAAGGGGTATTGCCTACGAAGGAGAGGGAGCAGAGGAAGAATGCAAGGGGGCAAAGAGAGTTGAACTGAAAGGACAAGCACAATACACACCGACGCATGCTCGAGGCTCCCCGATGAATCCTTGCTTGCATTTACAGGTTATAGCGTTGCTTGCTTCCTCAACACACTTTCATTTATGCCACACTGGGTGAGGACGCATGTTTCTGCCACAGCTGGAGGATACATCAAGAGAAAGAGATACATGAAGAGAGAGAGAGAGAGAGAGAGAGAGAGAGAGAGAGAGAGAGAGAGAGAGAGAGAGAGAGAGAGAGAGAGAGAGAGAGAGAGAGAGAGAGAGAGAGACAAAGACTAAGATTAGCTTGATGGATTGGTGCACACTGCGTCACCTCTAATTGTTTTCACAGAATGAGCTTTGGAGGACATTTGCTGTTGTTAATGTTGCATGGCCATGAAGGGCGGGTCAGGAGAAGGAGGTAGTGAAAGGCAGAAGGGAAGGGCCGAAAGGAGAAGGATGACAAGCAGAGCTAGCTTGACAGAGGATGGTGCAGGGAGAGTAGAACGCGAGAGACATGTGGGGGAAGAGAGAAAATAAAATCGATGCAATGATTAAAAAAATCGAGACCACCGGCGCGTACCCCTGCAGAATCTCACGCCAGTGTAGTGATTCGTTACACGGGATGTGGCATGCAGGATGAGTCGCACACCACACCGCCACATGAGACCAAGATGTGGCATGCAGGATGAGTCGCACACCACACCGCCACACGAGACCAAGATGTGGCATGCAGGATGAGTCGCACACCACACCGCCACATGTGGCATGCAGGATGAGTCGCACACCACACCGCCACATGTGGCATGCAGGATGAGTCGCACACCACACCGCCACATGAGACCAAGATGTGGCATGCAGGATGAGTCGCACACCACACCTGAGACCAAGATGTGGCATGCAGGATGAGGCGCACACCACACCGGCACATGAGACCAACATGTGGCATGCACGATGAGTCGCACACCACACCGCCACATGAGACCAAGATGTGGCATGCAGGATGAGTCGCACACCACACCGCCATATTAGACCAACATGTGGCATGCAGGATGAGTCGCACACCACACCGCCGCATGAGACCAAGATGTGGCATGCAGGATGAGTCGCACACCACACCTGAGACCAAGATGTGGCATGCAGGATGAGGCGCACACCACACCGGCACATGAGACCAACATGTGGCATGCACGATGAGTCGCACACCACACCGCCACATGAGACCAAGATGTGGCATGCAGGATGAGTCGCACACCACACCGCCATATTAGACCAACATGTGGCATGCAGGATGAGTCGCACACCACACCGCCACATGAGACCAAGATGTGGCATGCAGGATGAGTCGCACACCACACCTGAGACCAAGATGTGGCATGCAGGATGAGGCGCACACCACACCGGCACATGAGACCAACATGTGGCATGCACGATGAGTCGCACACCACACCGCCACATGAGACCAAGATGTGGCATGCAGGATGAGTCGCACACCACACCGCCATATTAGACCAACATGTGGCATGCAGGATGAGTCGCACACCACACCGCCACATGAGACCAAGATGTGGCATGCAGGATGAGTCGCACACCACACCGCCATATGAGACCAAGATGTGGCATGCGGGATGAGTCGCACACCACACCGCCACATGAGACCAACATGAGGCATGCATGATGAGTCGCACACCACACCGCCACATGAGAACAACATGTGGCATGCTGGATGAGTCGCACACCACCCCGCCATATGAGACCACCAGACGAGACACAACACACTTGTGATTTGATCATTCTGCGGCGAGTGTACTTGTGGCCAGCAATGGACAGCTAAGATTAGCGTGTACAGCGATCTCCTCGGTCGCATGAAGTGAAAAGGAGGGATTCTTCAACATGGTTGGTGTGAGGGGGGTGTTCGAGCAAGGAGAATGGTAGTCAGGCATCTGGGATTGGTTGGAAAGACACTGACCATGTGCCGCTACCTTGGCTTGCAGATCTTCAGGGACAGAGCAGCACGCACCATCACCCTTATACAGTCACACTTGGTGCGCCAGGTCCTTCAGAGGTTCGGTCATCAGTTCTCTTCCGCAAAGCCCACACCTCTGCCAATAGACCACAGGCTCTCGGCTCCAATGCTTGAGGAGTCTGTAGAGCCTAGTGGTCCTTACGCAGAGCTGGTGGGTTGCCTTATGTACCCGATGACTTGCACTTGTCCAGATCTCGCATACCCTCTCAGCATCCTGGCTCGTTTTGTGGCCACAGGCAAACACCGACCACAGCACTGGTCGGCTGCTAAGAGGGTTTTGCGTTATCTAGCAAGTACATCGGGCATGGGGCTAGTGAAAGGAGGACACAGGCCAGTGGTCCTTACAGGGCACACAGACTCTTTGTGGGCAGACGACGCTAAGATACTCAGGTCTTCGAAGGGTTACTGCTTTAGCCTTGGTACAGGCGCTATCTCTTGGAGGTCCACCCGTTCGTCATCTGTTGCTCAGTCTAGCTGTGAGGCTGAGATCTACGCCGGTACCATGGCGGCATAGGAGCTCCGCTGGCTGATTTTCTTGCTCACAGACTTAGGTGAGCGGCCCAGCTCTACCCCGGTCCTGTACGCTGACAACAGGGTCATGATCCTTCTGTGTCCAGAGCCTCGACTGGAGGGCAGAGCGAAGCACATCCAGCTGCAGTACTTCCTCCTACGCGAGCTACAGCAGCGCCGCCAGGCCCCCGTAGTACACTTGGCTTCCGGTAGCGTAGTACACGTGCCCGCGTAGAACACAACTGATATCTTTACGAAGGCGCTTGCGCCTAAAGATCATCAGCGGCACTATGTACAGGTTGGTCTAGTTCCTGTAGCTTCTCACTGACTAGGACCCTGATTATGTACTACTCCTTAGATTATCTTGAGTGGCCTTGTGGCTCTTTTTCATGTGGCTGGACTAGTAGTGCCGCCCTGGGTTGGTCTTGTTCAGTTTGTACACCTGCTGAGTGGTCTTCAGACCCTTGTCTCAGAGGTTGGACTAGTGGTGCCACCCTGAGCTGCGTGTCTCTTGCCCGGCACTGCCCCTTATCTAGCCTAGGGGGTGTGTCAAACATATATTTATATGTTGCTATAGGCTAGATAGGTGCGTACTCTTAGAGAGTACAACCCCCTAGCACAAAACCATCGTGTATCTCACATTCTATTCACTTCACTACTTTGATAGTGACACCCCTGCAGGAACCGACAACCTAGCCTCTGAAGATACTCGGTCACTGTGTCACCACGCAGCAGAACCGTCGAATAGTGGATTTTCTAATCCGCTGGCGTGACTGGACATCTGAGGATGACAGCTGGGTTCCCCTCGCTGATGTAGAATCACACCCCATTCTAACAGCGTATTATCAGCGTCGGAATGTTGCTGATGCTCGCGGTCTCGTTCAGGAGTGGGGGGTAGTGTAAGGAATTTTCATTCCTTACTGAGTCGAACGCTAGCGCGTACACCCGAACTCCTCGACTCGTTACGTTCGGCCTCATTTGTTAGCCCAACCCTTTCCCGAACTGTCGCCACATTGCTGAACCTGTCCTCGTTCCGAGGTTATCTCCCTAGCATGCCAACCCCTATATAACCTCATGCCTTCATTGCAATAGCGACCTTGTATTCTCACGTTATTATACGTTGACACTTCTTATATCATAACATTCCAAGTTTCCCCGCGTCAATATCCGCCTTACAAAATCCTCCCTTGAACTTCGTGTAGTCTGTCTGAGCTCAGTCACCGCACTGCACCCCAAGGCACCTGGATGAGGTTCCAGAAGATAAAATAGCACACCCAGCTAAAGAGGATTCCCTTTTGCTGTGGGGGCCTCCTGGAGCCTTCTGAGTCGTCCTTTGGGGCTCTAACCTCCAGGTACCTGACTTAGTCGTGAGGTGTGACCGTTCCAGCTCCTAGCGTCAGGTTGCTGACTTACCTAAACTCCCTGATAGTATCCGTAGCTTCAAACCTGTTTTGAGTCTCGGTGTTGTCGAGAATCCGACGAGGCATGGCGGATCGCCTGACGCGAATCGCGATCGTGAGCAGCGATCGCTGCAAGCCCAAGAAGTGTCGCCAGGAGTGCAAGAAGAGCTGCCCGGTCGTCAAGACTGGTAACCACCGCCGCTTTCCTTTCCATTCGTCAAGACTGGTAACCACCGCAGTTTTTCCACTTCCGGTTTCCCTGTCACCATCATCCATGGGAGATTTATCTACTCGGTCGCTGTTTTTCGGTACAAGGAAAAGTACGCCCGGGCTAGAAGCTATGTCCCCACACGTCTTGATTCTCGCAGCTGGATTTATCCTTTTGTGGCTGTTTATTTCATTTTTCGATGATTATTCCGCATCGTTGACTCTTTCAACACCTCTGGCTCGTTGACTCGTTGACTTGGTCGTCCGCAGGCAAGCTGTGCATCGAGGTCAGCTCCTCCTCCAAGCTCGCCTTCATTTCCGAGGAGCTCTGCATCGGTTGCGGTATCTGCGTCAAGGTGCGTCTTCGCGTGCATACCCGTTACAAATCGTTGCAACTCCGCAATGCTGCCTTCCATTTGTTTTTGTGAGGAGCAAATTATAGCGATTTCCGGGCCTGGCTCAAGAATGTGTGTCCGTGTGTGTGTTATGTGGGTGTGTGTGTGTGTTGTATGCCCGTGTGTGTTGTGCGTGTGTGCGTCTGACGGCGGCACAGAAATGTCCGTTCGACGCGATCGAGATCATCAATCTGCCCAAGGACCTCGACAAGGACACCACGCACCGCTACGGCCCCAACACCTTCAAGCTGCACAGGTGACGTCAGCCCCAACACCTTCAAGGTGCACAGGTGACGTCAGGCGCAACACCTTCAAGCTGCACAGGTGACGTCAGCCCAAACACCTTCAAGCTGCGCGGGTGACGTCAGCGGTAGCACCTTCAGGGTTCCGTAGGTGACGTCAGGGACACCACCTTCTGCGCGATCGATTCACAGGCCGGGCTCACGGCCGCCGCTTCGCAGACGACGTCGTCCGGTAACGCTGCAGGCTAGGGAGATTTAGCCGTTACGCTGTAGGATGTCGACCACGTGGCAGTAGCGCATTCGCAGTGCTGTCAGTTACACGTGGTGATTCGCATTCGTCAGAGGTTAGGGTTAGATGTGTCCTTTGAGTCAGAGCTAGGTTTTACTGAGAGCTGATGTGCTGCGGGTGTCACACAACCCTCTCTCGAGCCCATCACGGGTAACCCGTGCATCCGCTCGCACACTACTAGAGGTTCCTTATTTCGCTGACCTCCATCCGTACCAGCGCTACGCGTCCAGGAGTCGCGTGCAACGGTTACCTTAGCTTCGATCAGGGTTCAGGGTTTTACGCGTCACCTCCCATCTGTCTCTGGCGTTTCCGGACTGCCTCTCATCTGCGCGTATTCTCTAACCGTCCACGCGTTGAACTCACGAGCTCCTAATCCTTACTCTGCGCCAGCTGTGTGCTTCATGACCCGGGCTGATTGCTGAGAGGTGGTGGATGTGGGCTGCTGATGGGGTTGATTGATAGGCCGCCAGCGCCATCACCAAGTCAGTCCTCAGGTCCTCTGACCACCGATCTCCCGCCTATTCCCAACCCTCCCCCCTGATGCCCCATTGCCAACGCTCAGGCTGCCCTTGGTGCTGGGATTGGTGGACGCCAGCGGCATTGTCCCACCTCCCTTCCCCTTCCCTCTCCTTCCCTGCCTTTCAACAACGCTGCAGGCTGCCAGTGCCGCGGCCAGGCCAGGTGCTGGGACTGGTGGGCACCAATGGCATTGGCAAGTCCACAGCGCTCAAGGTCCTCGCAGGGAAGCTCAAGCCCAACCTTGGGCGGTTCAGTGTAAGCTGCGTTCCTTCCAGCCCTGGCATATTCACTCTCAGCGCATTCCCACTCTCAGCGCATTCCCCACTCTCAGCGCATTCCCCACTCTCAGCGCATTCCCCACTCTCAGCGCATTCCCCACTCTCAGCGCATTCCCCACTCTCAGCGCATTCCCCACTCTCAGCGCATTCCCCACTCTCAGCGCATTCCCCACTCTCAGCGCATTCCCCACTCTCAGCGCATTCCCCACTCTCAGCGCATTCCCCACTCTCAGCGCATTCCCCACTCTCAGCGCATTCCCCACTCTCAGCGCATTCCCCACTCTCAGCGCATTCCCCACTCTCAGCGCATTCCCCACTCTCAGCGCATTCCCCACTCTCAGCGCATTCCCCACTCTCAGCGCATTCCCCACTCTCAGCGCATTCCCCACTCTCAGCGCATTCCCCACTCTCAGCGCATTCCCCACTCTCAGCGCATTCCCCACTCTCAGCGCATTCCCCACTCTCAGCGCATTCCCCACTCTCAGCGCATTCCCCACTCTCAGCGCATTCCCCACTCTCAGCGCATTCCCCTCCCCACTCTCAGCGCATTCCCCACTCTCAGCGCATTCCCCACTCTCAGCGCATTCCCCACTCTCAGCGCATTCCCCACTCTCAGCGCATTCCCCACTCTCAGCGCATTCCCCACTCTCAGCGCATTCCCCACTCTCAGCGCATTCCCCACTCTCAGCGCATTCCCCACTCTCAGCGCATTCCCCACTCTCAGCGCATTCCCCACTCTCAGCGCATTCCCCACTCTCAGCGCATTCCCCACTCTCAGCGCATTCCCCACTCTCAGCGCATTCCCCACTCTCAGCGCATCCCCCCCCCCCCCTCAGCGCATTCCCCACTCTCAGCGCATTCCCCACTCTCAGCGCATTCCCCACTCTCAGCGCATTCCCCACTCTCAGCGCATTCCCCACTCTCAGCGCATTCCCCTTCGTCTTTCATCCCCCTCCTTCGTCCTCTCTCGCCCTCTCTCGCCCTCTCTCGCCCTCTCTCGCCCTCTCTCGCCCTCTCTCGCCCTCTCTCGCCCCGAGCTGCTGACTCTCACTTTAGCCGCCTGCTTTCCCTGCTGCCTTGCCCACCACCTCTTCCTTTTCGACTTGGCATAACTTCCAGTCTTCACTCAGCCTTGCTTGCTTAGACAGGTCTTTGTCAGCCTTGACACGCAACATATGGGCTGGTGCCTTTCAACCTTTCCCTGGCGCATTTAGCACAGACGTTTGCCCCTTGGTCCCTGCTCCCTTGCGCCTCGCGCCCTTGCTCCTTCTCCCACACCCACCCCCCCACCTCCCCTTCCCATCCCCCCACTCCCCCGTGCGTGCCCCTGTGGTGCGTGCAGAACCCCCCCGACTGGCAGGAGATCCTGACGTACTTCCGCGGGTCAGAGCTGCAGAACTACTTCACGCGCATCCTGGAGGACAACCTCAAGGTGGGGTGGGTGGGAGGTTGGGGTGGGCTGTACAGAAGGTCTGCACACTTGCCATGCCATGATGTGCTTCACGCGCATCCTGGAGGACAACCTCAAGGTGGGGTTTGTTTGAGGGAGGTGTGCACATTCCTCCTCTGCTCTCATCTCAGGCATTCATAGCGCCCGCTGCCACGCCTTCCTTCCTCCTCTCCTCTCCTCACGCACTTCTGCGGGTCGGAGCTGCAGAGCTACTTCCTTCCCTCGCATCCTGGAGGACAACCTCAAGGTGGGTTGGGTTGGGTGGGAAGAAGGTAGGTAGGCACGCCTCTTCTCTGCTAAAAGAGGCTCGAGCTGGCTCGATTTCGAACCAGCCGACTCGCGGATCAGGAGGGGGGGGGGGGGGGTTTGGGGGGGTTGCGACTGTCAAAGTTCAGATCGACAAACCCCCCCGCGCCCAGTTCCTCTGCCAACCCTAACCTCGCCCTGTCGCCCTAGTCTATCGCTCTCAGCCAGCCCTATTAAACCTGCAGCACCTCCTGAGATTTTTGTAAGATGTAGAAGCAGAGGATCAGCTAAACAATCTGGACCAGGGCCCGGACTAGAGACCCCAAACCCCGTGGCCCCAATTGAGAGCCCGCACAAGCCCCCCTGACGAGCCGAGCCGAGCCGGCGAACCGGCCCTGGTTCGACCCCATTTTCACGAGCCGAGGTGGGGATCCTGAGGACCTGGCTCGGCTCGACCCCAAATGAGCCGAGCCGAGCCAGGCTCGTCTCATCCATGTCTAATGAGAACCACTCCACGCATGCATTCAAGCAACCAACTTCAAGGTGGGCTGTAAGGGAGGCGGACCACATCCCTGATGGACCTATTGTGTGACCTCCCCCCTCTGCACTTGTTTGCAGGCCATCATCAAGCCGCAGTACGTGGACCACATTCCCGAGGCGGTGAAGAGGCATCCCCTAGGCACCCTCCTCTCCTCATATCACTCTTTTGCGCTTTCACTCCAATCTTTCACTCTTTCGCTTCCCCCCTCACCACCTGCAGGCCATCATCAAGCCGCAGTACGTGGACCACATTCCCAAGGCGGTGAAGGGGCAGGTGGGCGTGGTGCTCACTGAGAAGGATGAGCGGGAGGCCAAGGACGAGCTCGCGGAGATTCTCGAACTCAAGCAGGTGCGAAGGAGTAGGGGAGAAGGGGGCTCAAACAGGACGAGAAGGGGAGGGGGGGAGGGGGAGGGGGAGGGGGAGGGGGAGTTTTTTTGGCGGCGAGTTGCAGTGGCGTGCCACAATTCCTCATCCGCCCCTTCCCCAGGTGTGGGATCGCGAGTTGGAGCACTTGTCGAGAGGCGAGCTGCAGCGGTTCGCCATAGGTATGGTGGGGGTCAGCTGGGCGATATTTAAGTTCCGTCTCCCTTTCCCCCCTCCGGTTCCCCTCTGTCGTCCCTCCCTTAGGTTTGGGATCGGGAGGTGGAGCACCTGTCGGGTGGTGAGCTGCAGCAGTTTGCCATAGGCGTGGTTGCTGGGCAGCTGGGCGGCATCTGAGTCCTCCCCCTCCCTCCCCCCCGCTGCCCCACTCCCCCACATTCTCTCCTTCCTCCCCCAGGTCTGGGACCGCGAGGTGGAGCATCTATCCGGAGGCGAGCTGCAGCGGTTTGCCATTGGGGTGGTGGCGGGGCAGCTGGGCGACATCTACATGTTCGACGAGCCCTCCAGCTACCTCGATGTGCGGCAGAGACTCAAGGCAGCTCAAGTCATCCGCTCGCTGCTTAGGCCAGACAGGTGCGTTGCAGGCAGGTGCATTAACACGCGCACCCTCCAGAATGCCGTAACCCTACTTCCTCTGGTGATTTTTGAGTCGACTCAAAAATCCCTCCATAATGCCGTAAACCTACTTCCTCTGTTCTTTAAAAGTTTGTTCCAGGCGTGACTGAGCACATGATTTGAGCATGCCGAACCAGCTACCTCATTCTTAAGCGCCATCACCCATCCCAGCATCACCAGTCCCACAGCTTTTCGCACGTTTATATGTGGAGCATCACGCGAGCGAGTGTGCTGAACTGTCTCCTACACACCCACCTTCCCGGACCCCCCCCCCCCTTTCTCCCAGTTACGCTGTTGTGGGGGGGGGAGCACTATCTGAGGGTCCTTGAGTCTCTCTCCGACTTCATCTGCTGCCTCTACGGCAAGCCGGGGGCGTGCGGGTTGGTCCCTCTCCCCTACCTCTCATGCACCCATCATCCCTGCGCCATACTCCCATCCATCCAGATACGTCATCGTGGTCGAGCACGATCTCAGTGTGCTGGACTACCTCTCGGACTTCATCTGCTGCCTCTATGGCAAGCCGGGGGCATACGGCGTGGTCACGCTGCCCTTCTCAGTGCGCGAGGGCATTAACATCTTCCTCGCGGGCTTCGTGCCGACGGAGAATCTCCGGTTCCGAGATGTGGAGCTCACCTTCCGGGTGAGTTGCATTGGGTCAGAATGGCTCTTCCTTGCGTCAAGGTAGTTCTCCCCTTCTCAGTGCGCGAGGGCATCCTCGCGGGCTTCGTGCCGACGAAGAATTTCCGGTTCCGAGATGTGGAGCTCACCTTCAGGGTGGGTGAGTTCCCTTAGATTCTCTCCTTACTGCCTCGGGATAACTCCTCCCTTCTTCTCGGTGCGCGAGGGAATCAACATCTTCCTCGCGGGCTTCGTGCCGACGGAGAATCTCCGGTTCAGAGATGTGGAGCTCACGTTCCGGGTGAGTGAGTTGCCTTAGTCAGAACCCCTCCTTGCTTGCGGGAAATTCCACCCCCCTCTCAGTGCGCGATTTGTGTCTTGCCTTGTCTTGGGGAATTGTTGCCTTCCTACCTTTCTCCCCCCATCTTGTGCGTGCTGCATTCTACACACACCTTTGCAGCATTCCCCTCTTTCTCTCTCCCGACTTCTCCATGTCTACCCTCCCCTCTCCCCTCTCCCCTCTCCCCACTCCCCACTCTCAGGTGGCGAGCCCTAGACATATACCGGTCCAAGTATCCGCACATGCTCCAGAAGCAGGGCGGCGTCATTTCTTCCTCTTTCCTCGCTCACTTCCTTCCCTCTCATCTCTCCCTCTTTCCTCCTCTCCCCTCTCGGGTTGTAGTCATCTCTGTGGTGTGGAGAATGCAGACGAGGCCAAGAAGTACAACCGCTACAAGCACCCCCTCGTCATTCATGCCAAGAATGCATGATAAACCAGCAGGGCGGCTTCACCCTCTCCCCTCTCCTTCCTTGACTCCCATCCCTCTCTCTCCTCCCTCTCACTCCCCTCTCATCCCTCACTCCCTCCTTTCTCCCCTCTCTCTCTCCTATTCAGGTAGCGGAGACCCCTGTCGAAAACTTGGACGAGGCGAAGACATACAACCGGTACACGTACCCGCGCATGATCAACAAGCAGGGCGGCGTCAAGCTCTCCCCTCTCCTCCCCTCACGCCCTCCCATTTCGCCCCTGTCTCCCGTCTCGTCCCTCATTCCCCCCCCATCTCCTCCCCCCTCTCATTCCTCATTCCCGCCCCATCTCCTCCCCCCTCTCATTCCTCATTCCCGCCCCATCCCCTCCCTCTCTCAGGTGGCAGAAACCCCTGTGGAGAATGCGGACGAGGCTAAGACGTACAACCGCTACAAGTACCCGCGTATGATTAAGAAGCAGGGCGGCTTCAAGCTCAGTGTGGAGCCTGGGGACTTCACGGACTCGCAGATCGTGGTCATGCTGGGGGAGAACGGCACGGGCAAGACCACCTTCATTCGTATGCTGGTAAGTGGATGGGGTTGTGGCAAGGCGATGGCCACTGACTCGCAGATCGTGGTCATGCTGGGGGAGAACGGCACTGGGAAGACCACCTTCATTCGTATGCTGGTGAGCAGGTGGATATGCAAACTTGCCTGAACATGTTTTTGCAGGCAAAATGGTAAGGCCATGCCCACTCAATCTCCCCTCATTTCACCTAATTTTCCATCCATTTAGTTTTGAGGCGCCTCAAAACTAGACTCCTATCACGCGGTCTCCTCAATCTCCCCTCATTTCACCTAATTTTCCATCCATCCATTTTTTCGACCCCTCCCGTCTCCCTTCCTCCTCTCGCCCCCCTTCAGGCGGGACTTTTAGAGGTCTTTCCTGAGTTGACCATCTCATACATACAAGCCCACAAGATCCGCCCCATCTTCTTCCTTTTGCAGGGTGTTTTTGAGAATTCTCAAAAACACCCAACTTCTTCCTCTCTTTCTATCCCCTTCCCTCTCCCTCCTCTTGCTCACCTCCTTCAGGCCGGCCTCTTGAAACCTGATGCGGATGAAGAGACAGGCAAGGAGCCAGAGGAGCTCCCCGAGTTTCATTGTGTCGTACAAGCCACAGAAGATCAGCCCCAAGTTCCCCTTCTCTCCCCTCTCCCGTCCCTTCCTTCCCCTCCCTTTCATGCAGGCCGGTCTCTTAAAGCCTGATGTGGATGAAGAAACCGGCAAGGAGCCAGAGGAGCTGCCTGAGTTCAACGTGTCGTACAAGCCGCAGAAGATCTCCCCCAAGTTCCCGCACAGCGTGCGCGCGCTGCTGCACTCCAAGATCCGAGACTCCTTCCACCACCCGCAGTTCAACACCGACGTGCTGCGCCCCATGCAGATCGACCCCCTGCTCGACCAGGAGGTGGTGAATCTGTCTGGGGGTGAGCTGCAGCGCGTGGCCATCACGCTCTGCCTTGGAAAGGTGGGTTTGAGCCAGATGTGTTGGTAATAATGGCTCCTTCCACCACTGGCAGTTCAACACGGACGTGCTGCGCGCCATGCAGATCGACCACCTTGACCAGGAAGGGGTCAATCTGTCCGGGGGGTAGAGTTGCAGCGCGTGGCCATCACCCTGTGCCTGGGGAAGGTGAGTAGCTATCTCACTCTGTTGCGGTAGGGTACATGTGGGGTCTGCGTGATAGCACTTCACCACAGACATGCCACGCCATGCAAATTGATCCGTTGTTGGACCAGGAGGTGGTGAATTGGTTGGGGGGTGAACTGCAGTGTGTGGCCATCACACTGTGCCTTGGAAAGGTGGGTAACCATGACACTCTGTCTCGGCCAGGTAGGTGTGGCACTGTGGGGGTTCTCCTTCCACGACCCGCACAGTTCAACACTGGCGTGTAGCATCCCCTCCCATCCACCCTGCAGCCTGCTGACATGTACCTGATCGTTGAGTTAACGAACTTTCTGGATTTAGAGCAGCAGTTCGTGGCGGCCAAGGTGATCAGGTGGTTCATCCCCTGCTCTCCACATCCCTGTGTGTGCCTTCCCCCACACTACCCGCCCCTGCAGCCCATCGACATCTACCTCATTGACAAGCCGTCAGCGTACCTGGATTCAGAGCAGCGCATCGTGGCGGCGAAGGTGATCAAGCGGTTCATCCCCTCACTACCCTCCTTCTCTCATTCTTCCTATCCCTCGCAGCCCGCTGACATCTACCTCATCGACGAGCCGTCAGCCTATCTCGATTCGGAGCAGCGCATCGTGGCGGCGAAGGTGATAAAGCGGTTCATCCTGCACGCGAAGAAGACGGCGTTTGTGGTGGAGCATGACTTCATCATGGCAACTTACCTCGCTGACCGGGTCATCGTGTACGAGGGGCAGCCCTCCGTCGACTGCACGGCGCGCACGCCTCAGTCCCTCAATAGTGGGATGAACCTCTTTCTCTCGGTAGGTAGATCCCTTGATGGAGGTACTGAGTGAGGCAGGCGTCTTCAGCATGGGTGTGAGGCAGAGGCCAAGACTCATGGAGGCGCCCGAGTCACTCAGTTCCTCCACCAACAGTTCGGACCACAAGAGTTCACGGGTGCTCTTGCATGCATGCATGTCTTACCTTACCCCCCCCCCCTTCTCCCCCATGCACATATCTGTGGCTGCCAGCAAGTGGACATCACGTTTTGGCAGGAACCCATCAACTTCCATGTTTCGTACCCATTCTCACCTCTATTCTCACCTCCATTCTCACCCCTCTTTGCTCCACTTTTCTCGCCTCTATTCCCACCAGCAACTGGACATCACGTTCCGGCGGGACCCCACCAACTTCCGGCCGCGCATCAACAAGATCGACTCCATCAAGGACCGCGAGCAGAAGTCGGCCGGCACCTACTACTACCTTGACGATTAAACCGCATAGATAAACCACTGGATGGAAGCTACACTCTTGAAAGCTACCCTTTTAGAAGCCTCTCTCACATGTTGCGGTAGATGTGTTTAGAAGGGAGTCATTGGCTCGTTTTGTTCGACAGGGCGAGGCTGTTGCTGCTGATGAGGAAGGAGGGAGTCCAGTAGAATGGAAACTGGAGCAAGTCCCCAAGGAGTCTGCAGTGGACACCTTGGGCCATTTGTCTGTTCTGCTTACCGGTATGCTAGGTTAGAGATTTATGGCTGGAGCTTCAGAAAGCCTGTCTGAAGAGTACCATAAATAGAGTATCATAATTAAGAGAGTTGGTCACAATGTGTTGTTGGCAATGAGAAACCGTACATGAATGACACACATGACTGCAAATGGTATTTACAGTGAACACTAGCCACACAAAAAACTCATAACACACCATGCCAGCCATACACACCATGCCTTCACCAACCATCCCTGCATCCCCTCAGCTGCTCCCCCCACCCTTCAGGTACACTTGTCGCGGCACCTCTGGTCCTTCCTGTCGCTCCCATGGCTGTGGCGCTTCCCGTCGACTCAGAAGCCCTCACTTCTAGTTGCACTTGTCGCGGCACTTCTGGTCCTTCCTGTCGCACCCGCGGCTGTGGTGCTGGTTGTAGCACTCGTCCAGCTTCTCATCGCACTTCTCGGTGCACTCCGCCTGGCAGTCATTGTACGCGTCACTCGCGTCCCACTCACAGTCCCCGCGCTTGTCGGTGCACTTCTGCTCGTGCCACCAGTCCCGTGCCCTGTCCAGGCACCGCTGCTCCTTCTCCTCGCACCGCTCCATCTTCTTCTCGTACTTGTCCGAGCACGTCTTATCATCGCTGCGAAGCACCCTCCTTGTGACTGTAGCGGGGGCTGGAAGGGTCGCGAACGGAGCACGTGCACCTGCAGGGTTTAGGGTCACATGTCAAAGGAAAACGTGTCAGGACGCATGCTTGTCCGTGCACGTCCTCCACCACTGTAAAGCACCCCCCGTGTGCCTGTAACGGGGGCTGGAAAGGTCGTGAACGGAGCCCGTGCACCTGCAGGGCGAGGAAATTTAAAATGCTCTCGAATTACGGGTGTGGGAGGGGGTTGTAATAACACAATAAAATTTGGTATTTCTTCAGATTTCAGGCCGTTTAAGGTGCACAATCGTACCTTGAGCGGAAGGGAGATTGGAGAACGCGAGGAGAGCGGCGAGCAGGAAGAGCAGGGAAACGACGAGCTTTCCGCATGCCATGGCGAAGTCTGATGCGTTTTGGCGGGACCAGGTAGGCTAGATGGGGAACGATGAACCTTGAATATTGAGGGAACCGGATTCTAAATATTAGGAAGTGATTGGAGGCTTGAATATTGAGCGAGCTGGATTCTCGTGAATAGAAGGAAGTGACTGGAGGCTTGAACACACACCAACGAATGAGATGACTAACGATCCGAGCGCCGTTCATTCATATACACACCAATGAATGAGATCACATCATCGCGCCTCGAGCCGTCGGGAGGCCCATCCAGCTGCCATCGAACCGCGGCTGCGAAGCACCGATTGGCGCTTCGAGCCGCCGCGAACAGGTGTCTCGGGAGCCTCGGCCCGCTCGGACCTTCCTCGCCGAAACGGCCTTGGCGCGTCGCGGCATCATCAGATATAGTAGCGCTGGTGCTCGCCACGAGTAGCCCCGTGCGCGACCTAGCTCCGAGCTGAAGTTGAGCGATGCTGTGGTTCCGGCTGATCAGAGCAGCAAATTAGTTTCGAACTTGGCGTCGCCATCGGCATATACACTCCGTTCCGAGAAGCCAGGCAGGTTCGAGTCTTACGAGTCCGCTGAGGTCAAGCAGCACATGTGGGTTCTTTGGACGCCACATGGCGATTAGCTCCATTGTTTACCGAGAGTGCTATTTGCTGCCTCAGCAACGAAAGTGGTGAGTGAAGTGGGGAGGGAAGAAGGTTCAACCTTCTTGCTGCTGGGCTGCGGAGCAATTCAAACCTTGGCCTGAGTGGAAACTCCGTACACTTTGTTGTCTACACCGATAACAACGATTTGTTAAAGGCTAATCGAATATACAACTTCCCTTCCAGCTGCAATATAAGGGCTAATTGACAATCAATCTAGAAGAAATTTTAGCGGACAAGTGTAGCGAAGCTAAGTCATCAAAGACGTTCTATAGAAATTTATGGATTCCATACTATGGAGCAGGGCTGACGTTTCAAAAAAAGGCACTCTGATTTTGCCCCCCAAAAATTTTCCCGAGTCTGAAGGGCCATTTTTCGAAATTTCGCTACTCTGAAATCTCAGTGTCCAAAAGTCAACGAGTCTGAAATACTCAGGGTTCAGAATGTCGACTCAGAGTCCTGCACGCAAGTCGAAAACTTATATTTCCAGAGTTCACACCAGACCCCACGATTGGTTTTAGGGTACTAAGATTCATAAGCTTTTCGTCAAGAAAATTTACGTGGATTGATCAGTGTTTCATAGCAAAAGTTTGCCTTTTCATTAGGGCGTGTGAGAAAAAAAAAACTGATTTGGCAACCAGGAGAGAGGATTTCACATTTTTTTTTAACAAGAGTAAATTCCGCATTCTAATAACAGTCGTTTCTGGTCAACTGAAATTCTATAAAAATGGGACGGTCACGATCGATTGCGATCGTTTCGACGTTTTTTAACCATTCGATGGTCACATGTGATAAACGTCCACGATCGATCAACCGGGGCGCTGCAATGGCGTGAAGTTTCTCCCATCGCCCAATTCCACAGCTTCCCGCCTGCACTCTGTTTCGATCCTCCCCCCTCCCCCTCCATTTTCGACCCCCCCCCCCCCCCACTCCTCCCCCTCCGTTTCGCTTCCCCCCTCCCCTCCATTTCGCTTCCACGCCTCCCCTCCGTTTCGACCCACCCCCCCCCTCCCCCCCCCCCTCCCCTCCGTTTCGTTCCCCCCTCCCTCCCCCTCCCCCCCCCCTCCGTTTCGCTTCACCCCTCCCCCCGGTTTTGATTCCCTCCCCCTTTCCCCCTCGAATTCGATTCCCCATCCCCTCCTTTTCGAATTCTCCCCCTCAGGGCTTGTTTTTACACGATACAACGTCACGACACTTCGTATCAAAACTGTTATTGACGGGCAAATTTGACTGCAAAATCAGCAATGACACGAAGTTGCCTGAAAGTGTTGTGTTGGAAACAACACCCCCTCAATTGAACCGTGGCGTGGACAGTGTGATTTCTTAGAGTTAGTTTCACATCGTCTGAGAAATCAGGAAAAAAAAAATCGCCAGCCAGATGAATGATTTTCTTGTTACCCCTTTTAGGAACTTCACAAAAGTCGGGTAATAAGCAGGATTCCGGGTTGCGAGGGTTTGTTGGAGGATTTTTTTAATGGTTGCAAGGGACTTAGCCGATTTTTTCGGGTTGCGGGAGCTGAGGGAGGGATATTTCTTGCTGTGGGGACTTAGCCGAATTTTCAGGGTCGCAGGAGGTGTGGGAGGGATGTGTCTGTCTGTGGGGACTTGGTCGAATTTCTGGGGCTGCGAGGGGAGTAGGGAAGAAATGTGCTGGGGGGAACTGTCTCTGGCTGCTAGGACTTAGCCGGATTTTTTAGGTTGCGGGGTGGGGTGTGTGTGAAAGGACTTGACTCTGGCCCTTGGGGAGTTAGACGAAATTTTTGGGTGAGGGCAAGTAGGTGCAGTACTAGTATGTGTGTCTCAGGGTCCGTACGCGCTGCGCTCTGAAAACTCAGTATCCGCAAACTGCGAAGTCTGAAATTCTCAGGATTCAAAAACATATAACTCTGAAGGGTTCAGCATTCAGAAAATGGCAAGTCTGAAAAATCAGGATCGGCAAAAAAATAGGTCTGAAATTTCAGACAATCAGACTAAAATAGTCTGATAAAATCAGCCCTGCTATGGAGAGCCATACGTGGACGAGACGGGGTGGGATGGTGTCAAACATAATTTAGTATGTTATTGTAGACTATACAGGTTTGTGTCTTAGAGGGTACAACACACTAGCCTATATTGCCTTGTACTCTCACATTCTATTTATTCTTGCATTCTAACATGGTATCATGAGTAGGTTAGGTCCCGCTCGTCCACCAGCGCTTCCGCACTAGGTCCTAGCCGCCCGTCCCCTAGCCGGCCCCATGCACGCCTCCTAGCCGGCCCTTGCGCCCGTCCCGTAGTGACCCCCGTGCCCGTCCGTAGCGCCCCCCCCGCCCATCCGTTAGCTGCCCCCGCGCCCGTCCGTAGCGGCCCCCGCGCTCGTCCGTTAGCCGGCTCCCTCGCCTGCCCGTAGCGGCCCTCGCGCCCATCCGTAGCGGCCCCCGCGCCCGTCCGTAGCGGCCCTCCCGCGCCCGTCCCTTAGCCGGCCCCCACGCCCGCCTGTAGCGGCCCCCGCGCCCGTCCGTAGCGGCCCCCGCGCCCGTCCATAGCGGTCCTCGCGCCCATCCGTAGCGGCCCCCGCGCCCGTCCGTAGCGGCCCCCGTGCCCGCCCGTAACTGGCCCCCGCGCCCTTCGCGTCAAAAGGTGGAGTAAGAGAGCAGCGGAAAGGGGTGTCAGGCGTGCGCCAGGTGCTGCCGACCTCCCGCGAGTTGTACCCACCGCCGATGGCTACGGTGCCGCCATCGCTCAGCGTACCACCATGGCTCCGCTTACCACCATCGCTCCGGCATACCAGCGTCGCTCAGCGTACCACCATGGCTCCGCTTACCACCACAGCTCGGCGTACCACCATCGCTCCGCTTACCAGCATCGCTCCGGCCCCCGCGCCCGTCCATAGCCAGCCCCCGCGCCCATCCGTAGCCGGCCCCCGCGCCCGTCAGTAGCCTCCCCCTCTGTCTGACTATCTTCGTGCTGCTCGCCCTCTTGTTCCTCGGGTCCTTGCCTCCCTCGTTACCGACCCGTCTGTTCCTGCTTCGCGTCTTGACGCCCTTGTCGCTGCTGTCGCTGACTTCGCCTCTACCTGCCGCCTTGACTACGCCACCGCTCTGGTCTCTGACCCTGCCTATCCTCCGTCCGTCAGGGGTGCTCCTGCCCTTGGCAGTGACGTCATAGAGGACTGGCAGTACGAGCTTGCTTTCCTGTCAGAGGCTGCTTCCCATCTCTGCTCCGTGCTGCTAGTCCCTGAGGGTGACCCAGACGCTTTCGACATCCCGACCCCTTGCACCTACGCTGAGGCTACCTCGGGACCCTGGGCCTCGCAGTGGATAGCTGCCATGGAGCAGGAGATGGCATCTTGGAGATCCACCGGCACCTACATCGACGCAGTTCCCCCACATGGGGTGAACGTAGTCGATGGCCGCTGACTCTTCAAGGTGAAGCGCCCTCTTGGAGAGCCGCCTGTGTTCAAGGTGCGCTACGTGGCTAGAGGCTTCAGTCAGCGTGAGGGGGTGGACTTCTTTCAGACCTTCGCGCCGACGCCGAAGATGACTACTCTTCAGGCACTGCTACACGTAGCAGCACAGCGCGACTACGAGTTACACTTCCTCGACTTCTCCACAACCTTTCTTTAGGGCAGCCTACACGAGCAGGTCTACCTGCGCCGTCCTCAGGGCTTCACTGATACCTTCCCTCCTGAGACCCAGTGGCTCCTGCGGCGCCCAGTCTACGGCCTACGACAGGAGCCACGTGAGTGGCACGATACGCTGCGTGCTACCCTAGCTGACCTGCAGTTCTTTCCGTCCTCTGCCGACCCCTCGCTCTTCGTTCGTGCTAGCCAGACCCCGTTCTACATCCTTGTTTATGTAGACAACCTGGTCTTCGCTACTGCAGAGAGAGACGCACTGGCTTTCGTGAAGGCAGAGCTGCTGAAGACATACAGCTGAACTGACCTAGGAGAATTGCGCCACTACCTTGACCTGCAGATCTCCAGGGACAGAGCAGCGCGCACCTTTACTCTCTCACAGTCACACTTGGTGCGCCAGGTCCTTCAGCGGTTCGGTCTTCAGTTCTCCTCTGCACAGCTCACACCTCTGCCGGCGGACCACAGACTCTTAGCTCCTATTTTTTAGGAGTCAGTAGAGCCCATTGGTCCGTACGCAGAGCTGGTGGATTGCCTCATGTACCTGATGACTTGCACTCGCCCAGTTCTCGCATACCCTCCCAGCATCCTGGCTCGCTTTGTGGCCACAGGCAGACACCGACCACAGCACTGGTCTGCCGCTAAGAGGGCTTTGCGTTATCTTGGAAGTACATCGGGCATGGGGCTAATGCTAGGAGGACGCAGGCCAATGGTCCTTACTAGGCACACAGACGCTTCTTTGGCAGACGACGCAGAGACTCTCAGGTCCTCTCAGAGCTACTGCTTCAGCCTTGGTTAAGGTGCTGTTTCGTGGAGAGCTACCCGCTCTTCGTCTGTTGCCCAGTCCAGCTGCGAAGCTGAGATCTACGCCGGTGTCATGGCGGCACAGGAGCTCCGCTGGCTGCCGTTCTTGCTCATTGACTTAGGTGAGCGGCCTAGCTCTGCCCCGGTCATGTACGCTGACAACAGGGCCATGATCCTCCTGTGTCAGGAACCTCGACTTGAGGGCAGAGCGAAGCACATCCAACTGCGGTACTTCCTCATGCGCGAGCTACAGCAGCGTCGCCAGGCCCGTATAGTAAACTTGGCCTCCGGTGCCAACACAGCTGATATCTTTACGAAGGCGCTTGCGCCTAAAGATCATCAGCGGCACTGTGTACAGCTTGGTCTTGTTCCTGTAGCCTCCCACTTGCTAAAGCCTTGATTGTGTACAGACCAGGCTTCATATATATTACCCAGAATGGTCTTGTGGCCTCTCCCAGTGGCTGGACTAGTCGTGCCGCCCTGGTCTTGCCCCTGTCTTGTCTGTACTCTTGTTGACTGGTCTTTAGACCCTTGCCTCAGAGGCTGGACTAGTAGTGCCGCCCTGAGCTGCTTGTTCTCTTGTTAGGCACTGCCCCTATATAGTCTAGGGGGTGTGTCAAACATAACTTAGTATGTTATTGTAGACTATACAGGTTTGTGCCTTAAAGGGTACAACACACTAGCCTATATTGCCTTGTACTCTCACATTCTAGTTATTCTTGCATTCTAACAGATGGACCATTGTGTCGGGTGGGAAGATTTCCTTCCGCATTTGATTCAAGCCCTATATTCTTTATGGATCAGAACGGAACTGTGAAACTAAATCGTACAGGAGCCGCAAGGACTTTTATTTGGATCACCACAAATATGAAAATGGCCTACACACGATTGAAGACCCACTAGTGCTATATTGGGGAATTATGGTACTGTAAATCTGCCATTCTCCATGCCAACTCAGCGATGACCGTAACGATGACTGTATTTGTGCAACTCAGCCCGTACAGCCTGGTTGTAACGATTGTAGCAACTGTAGCGGTTGTAGCACAGCCGTTTTGCTGCTACAGCCGCTACGCCAGTCTCCGTGCGAGCTCAGCAATAGCCAGCCCGTAAAGCGAGGAGGGGTTGTAGCGCATGATGACATGGAAATTGTGGCACGCCAGGTAGGCAATGCCAGCTGGACCATCAGGTGCTATCTGAAGGGGGGGAGGGGGGGAGCAAGGAGAAAAGGAAAGGGAGAAGGAAGAAGAATGCAGGTGAACGTTGCAACGCCCTCATTAGAGTGGGTCACGTTGCAACGCCCTCGTTCGAGTGGGTCACGTTGCAACGCCCTCGTTCGAGTGGGTCACGTTGCAACGTCCTCGTTCGAGTGGGTCACATTGCAACGTCCTCGTTAGAGTGGGTAATGTTGCAACATCCTCGTTAGAGTGGGTAACGTTGCAACGTCCTCGTTAGAGTGGGTAACGTTGCAACGTCCTCATTGGAGTGGGTAACGTTGCACCGTCCATGTTAGAGTGGGTAACGTTGCAACATCCTCGGTAGAGTGGGTAACGTTGCAACGTCCTCGTTCGAGTGGTTAACGTTGCAACATCCTCGTTAGAGTGGGTAACGTTGCACCGTCCTCGTTAGAGTGGGTAACGTTGCAACATCCTCGTTAGAGTGGGTAACGTTGAGGTCACAGGGTGAATCGCGTGCCTGAAGGATGCATGGGGACTCTTCCTTCGCCAAGTGCTTGCCTGCGGTTGTGGGGGAGGCAGATATGAAATGCACATGTGACTAGCGGATGGCAGGCATAGTACAAGGAGCATTCGACCTTCGCCATGTGCTTTGCTGGGTGCAGCCATACTCAGGGTGACTAGCAGTGGCACACATGTACCACGCACATTCACATGCACATACATACAGATGCACAAACACACGCACGTGCCCACACATACACGCAAGAAACAGGTGCGGCATACCAGAGTCGCCGTTATATCCGGTGGTAAATTTACGCCATCAAGGCAGTGCCTCAATGTAGGAGTAGCATACCAGAGTTGCTGTCATATCCGGCGGTAAAGATTTCCAACCGTCCCCTTGAGTTTTTCTGTCTCCGTACGTGATTCCATTCGCTGCATTGACCCCATCTCCCACCATTCTAACTCCGTGCTTCTGCTGCCACTCGGCCACTGAGAGCTTCATGGGAGGCTTTAAGAGAGAGCGTGGGAAGTTGGGGGGGAGAACCACCTGGTTGGGGGGAAGGGGGGGTGGGGGGGAGAGAGGGGGGGAGAGGGAGGGAGAGGGGCGTGAGGACCAAATTATGAGCATGGAACAGGGAGGCGTCCCTGCTGCGTTTTCCACTCCACGGCTGTGAGTTTAACGGGAGGCATTAAGACAGAGGGCAGAAAGCTGGTGGGGCAGAGGGAGAGCAGACGGAGGTGGGGATGAGCAAAGAGGTGCATGACAGGCGCAAGAGAGGGGGGGGGTGGGTGGGGAGGAGGAGAGGCACATGGGCAAGACCAATGCGGGAAATATGTTATGGACACCATATTGGAACATGGAGAGCGGAAACCATGTGAGTGAGACCACCTCATCACTATAATAGCCTCACTAACTCCCATCAGTGCGAGAGTGTGTGCTATTTCAAGGAAGAGATGTGCTTATGGCCATTCGGAAAACCCATGGTGAAGAGGTGCTTGTGAGCCATTTGCTTCAAAAAGCTGGCTGGACGAATAACTCAATCGGACGGTCACCCACGAACCTGTGGTGATTATGTTTGTGAGACAATAGAGAATGAGAATGAACCATGCATGCAGATGAGGGCATGAGAGCAAACATGATGCCATCACGGCTCACCTCTTCCTCACCTCAACGCCCACTGGCTCTCCTGGTCTCTATCGGATGCACTTGAGGTAGTTTTGAGGCGCCTCAAAACTAGACTCCTCACCTCAACGCCCACTGGCTCTCCTGGTCCCTATCGGATGCACTTGAGGTAGCTTTGAGGCGCCTCAAAACTAGACTCCTCACCTCAACGCCCACTGGCTCTCCTGGTCTCCATCGGTTGCACTTGAGGTAGTTTTGAGGCGCCTCAAAACTAGACTCCTCACCTCAACGCCCACTGGCTCTCCTGGTCTCCATCGGTTGCACTTGAGGTAGTTGGCCATTGATGCCAGCACGTCGGGTACTGATGTCCAGATGTCTAAGAGGGAGGGGCGCGGAGGACACCAGGTAATGAGCCAACAGAGGGAGGGTTGGGTTAGGTAGTTGGCTGTGAATGCATGGACGTCGGGAATGCAAGGACATCGGGAATGGATGTCCAGATGTATGGGAGGGTAATGTGGGGGAAGGGGGACACGAGACTAGGGAGGAAAGAAAGTGCACGGGAGTTGATACCATGGCATGGCATAACAGGGTTCAGGGTTTCACACCTTTCCTCCCATGGCCATCATGGCCCACAAAATAGGCCTGGAAGGAGGACGGTACGGACTGAGAGGGCTTTGGGTCTGTCGTACAAAGGCTTCAGGTTTGGGATCTAGAGTTCAGTCCTCCTCACCTTTCCACCCATCCCATTGCAGTCCACTGCTAGGCCTGGAAGGACGACGGCAGAGATTGGCTGAGAAATCAGTGTCTGAGGTCCTCACCTCAGAACAACGGCTGCTGAACTCAGAGGGTTACGAGTTCGTAGTGCTACAAAGGTTCAAGGCCTGAGGTATAAGGTTCAAGGCCTGAGGTATAAGGTTCAAGGCCTGAGGTATAAGGTTCAAGGCCTGAGGTATAAGGTTCAAGGCCTGAGGTATAAGGTTCAAGGCCTGAGGTATAAGGTTCAAGGCCTGAGGTATAAGGTTCAAGGCCTGAGGTATAAGGTTCAAGGCCTGAGGTATAAGGTTCAAGGCCTGAGGTATAAGGTTCAAGGCCTGAGGTATAAGGTTCAAGGCCTGAGGTATAAGGTTCAAGGCCTGAGGTATAAGGTTCAAGGCCTGAGGTATAAGGTTCAAGGCCTGAGGTATAAGGTTCAAGGCCTGAGGTATAAGGTTCAAGGCCTGAGGTATAAGGTTCAAGGCCTGAGGTATAGGGGGGGGGGGGGGGGGGGGGGGGGGGGGGGCCTGAGGTATAAGGTTCAAGGCCTGAGGTATAAGGTTCAAGGCCTGAGGTATAAGGTTCAAGGCCTGAGGTATAAGGTTCAAGGCCTGAGGTATAAGGTTCAAGGCCTGAGGTATAAGGTTCAAGGCCTGAGGTATAAGGTTCAAGGCCTGAGGTATAAGGTTCAAGGCCTGAGGTATAAGGTTCAAGGCCTGAGGTATAAGGTTCAAGGCCTGAGGTATAAGGTTCAAGGCCTGAGGTATAAGGTTCAAGGCCTGAGGTATAAGGTTCAAGGCCTGAGGTATAAGGTTCAAGGCCTGAGGTATAAGGTTCAAGGCCTGAGGTATAAGGTTCAAGGCCTGAGGTATAAGGTTCAAGGCCTGAGGTATAAGGTTCAAGGCCTGAGGTATAAGGTTCAAGGCCTGAGGTATAAGGTTCAAGGCCTGAGGTATAAGGTTCAAGGCCTGAGGTATAAGGTTCAAGGCCTGAGGTATAAGGTTCAAGGCCTGAGGTATAAGGTTCAAGGCCTGAGGTATAAGGTTCAAGGCCTGAGGTATAAGTTCAAGGCCTGAGGTATAAGGTTCAAGGCCTGAGGTATAAGGTTCAAGGCCTGAGGTATAAGGTTCAAGGCCTGAGGTATAAGGTTCAAGGCCTGAGGTATAAGGTTCAAGGCCTGAGGTATAAGGTTCAAGGCCTGAGGTATAAGGTTCAAGGCCTGAGGTATAAGGTTCAAGGCCTGAGGTATAAGGTTCAAGGCCTGAGGTATAAGGTTCAAGGCCTGAGGTATAAGGTTCAAGGCCTGAGGTATAAGGTTCAAGGCCTGAGGTATAAGGTTCAAGGCCTGAGGTATAAGGTTCAAGGCCTGAGGTATAAGCTTCAAGGCCTGAGGTATAAGGTTCAAGGCCTGAGGTATAAGGTTCAAGGCCTGAGGTATAAGGTTCAAGGCCTGAGGTATAAGGTTCAAGGCCTGAGGTATAAGGTTCAAGGCCTGAGGTATAAGGTTCAAGGCTGAGGTATAAGGTTCAAGGCCTGAGGTATAAGGTTCAAGGCCTGAGGTATAAGGTTCAAGGCCTGAGGTATAAGGTTCAAGGCCTGAGGTATAAGGTTCAAGGCCTGAGGTATAAGGTTCAAGGCCTGAGGTATAAGGTTCAAGGCCTGAGGTATAAGGTTCAAGGCCTGAGGTATAAGGTTCAAGGCCTGAGGTATAAGGTTCAAGGCCTGAGGTATAAGGTTCAAGGCCTGAGGTATAAGGTTCAAGGCCTGAGGTATAAGGTTCAAGGCCTGAGGTATAAGGTTCAAGGCCTGAGGTATAAGGTTCAAGGCCTGAGGTATAAGGTTCAAGGCCTGAGGTATAAGGTTCAAGGCCTGAGGTATAAGGTTCAAGGCCTGAGGTATAAGGTTCAAGGCCTGAGGTATAAGGTTCAAGGCCTGAGGTATAAGCTTCAAGGCCTGAGGCATAAGCTTCAAAACTGAGTCCTCACCTTTCTGCCCATCACCATCGAATGGTCCACGGCATACGCCGGGAGGATGACGGCATAGACTGAGCGGATACGGGGGGTTGTGTGTCGGGTAGCCATTAAGCGTTAGGGTAGGCTGCAGCGAGGAGGAAAAACTTAAGCAAAAGGAGTGACAGTAGGTAAAAAAGGGTATCCCTGTTCAAAACACGAGAATTTGAAGTTTCAAACTCAACTCCACTAGAAGATTAAAACGCAAACTAGTTTCGGCTGACTGGGACAGGCCCCAGATCAGACCTTCATCAGTGCTGGTGGAATTATAAAAGTGAGTTTACAAGCGAGCTCTTAAACAGAGATTGTGCTACGAAAACAACAACTTCAAGGTTGGAGCAACTGTGGCTGAAATCTGGTCAGCCAATCCAAAACACCCTGGAAAGTTCCAAAGTGCCAGGTCCTCATTCCTCGGGACGTGTCGTGGGTAACCCACATCTCGCCAGCTAGTGCTCAGGGAGCCTCACGCGAACAAGTAACTTTTGCAAGTTACACCCAGCCTTCCATGCGACAAAAATACTCTCAGTGTATAACCCGTGTGTAATGAGTCGATTCTTGAGTCGACTCAAAAATCGACTGATTACTCGCTGAGAGGATACGAGGGGATGTGTGTCGGACGTATTTCAGGGCTTAGTTAGAACACGGTTTAGGGTTACCCACCTTTCCGCCCTTCCCCATCATGGTCCGCGGCATACGCTTGGAAGGATGGCGGCATGAACTGAAAGGCTCTATGTTTCAGGCATAAGCAGGTTCGGCAGCAGAGATTACCCACCTTTCCGGCCATCGCCGTCGTGGTCCACAGCATACGCCTGGAAGGACGACGGCATGAACTGGCACTGCCCCATGGCGCCCGCATACGACCCCTGCAGCCGCACTCGCCTCGTTGCCCTTGTGGTTGTTGTGAGCTCGCCTGCAGCCGAACCCGCCTTGTCTGCACCGCCCTCCTCCTTGAGGTGCGAATGCAGAGCAATCGGAGGCCCCTGGTTGTTGTCTAGGATCGACAGTGCTTCCATCAGCTCCTCCCGGAAGAAAGCAGCACGGCGGGGCTGGAGGGAATATGCGGAACAGGAGGTGAGAGAAACAAGTATTGGGCACTATAAAGACTAAATCATGATTGTGCGCTTCGTTGGTTCATAGGGCACTGGGAACCTCCTTACGTAGTGCCTTTCGGACTTTCGAATCCATGGTTCCAGTGGGGAATGAGCAGCCCACGAAGTCTGCCACACACCTAAGCGCGGATGCGAGGAGGGTCATCTTAGGTTCACAGGGCAATGGAGAATGAGCAGCCCACGAATCTTCGGCGATCACGATTGCACTCTAAAGCAACACCATGCGGCACCATACCTGCTGTGTGCGGTATGCGAGGGTGAGCAGCGCTTGGATGGCATCCCACTTGCCCATGTTCTTGCCATAGCTGCCACGTCAGATGGAAAGCAGACGTCAGCAGATGGAAAGCAGACGTCAGCAGATGGAAAGCAGGCGTCATCACATTTATAGCCCACGAAGTCTGCCGCACGACATCAGGTGCATTTTGAGTTGACTCAAAATACATCAGGTGGAAGGAAAGCAGGTGTTAGCATGTGAAAGGCACAAGTGGCAGGGGGCAAAGCTCGTAGCACCAGATGGAAGCGCATGCCTGTGCCCCACTACCTCCTAGCTACATTATACACACACCATGGTACATCCATCATCCATCCGCGTTATAGTCACCTGCTCTCTATGCCCCACAGAGCCGTCATCACATTGGGCGGCACGCCATAGATCTCCTCTATCTCCGCCAGAAGCTTCCTGTGAGCTTCCATCGCCTGCTTCCCCTCCAGCACCCGCGCTACACTCACCATCCTGAGCAATCCATGCATGCATGGCGGCGTGCATGGCGGCATGCGTGGGGGCATGCATGGGGGCATGCATGGGGGCATGCATGGCGGCATGCATGGGGGCATGCATGGGGGCATGCAGCATAGGGCGTGAATAGATGCATGTACTTGAGGATATGTCGACGTATGTACATGTATTCTTGCATGTATAAATGGGCACACGTGCTGCACTCACCATCCTGAGCAATCAATGCATGCATACATGCATGGGGGTATGCATGCACCATAGGGGGCTGATGGATGCATGTAGTGACGATGTGCCACCGTATACATGCTTTTGAGTCGACTCAAAAGTCAGCGGCGACATGGGATTAACCACACATCACACAGCACACAGCACACATCACACAGCACACATCACACAGCACACATCACACAGCACACAGCACACAGCACACAGCACACAGCACACATCACACAGCACACAGCACACAGCACACAGCACACAGCACACAGCACACAGCACACAGCACACAGCACACAGCACACAGCACACAGCACACAGCACACAGCACACAGCACACAGCACACAGCACACAGCACACAGCACACAGCACACAGCACACAGCACACAGCACACAGCACACAGCACACAGCACACATCACACAGCACACATCACACATCACACAGCACACAGCACACAGCACACAGCACACAGCACACAGCACACAGCACACAGCACACAGCACACAGCACACAGCACACATCACACAGCACACAGCACACATCACACAGCACACAGCACACAGCACACAGCACACAGCACACAGCACACAGCACACAGCACACAGCACACAGCACACAGCACACAGCACACAGCACACAGCACACAGCACACAGCACACAGCACACAGCACACAGCACACAGCACACAGCACACAGCACACAGCACACAGCACACAGCACACAGCACACAGCACACAGCACACAGCACACAGCACACAGCACACAGCACACAGCACACAGCACACAGCACACAGCACACAGCACACAGCACACAGCACACAGCACACAGCACACAGCACACAGCACACAGCACACAGCACACAGCACACATCACACAGCACACAGCACACAGCACACAGCACACAGCACACAGCACACAGCACACAGCACACAGCACACAGCACACAGCACACAGCACACAGCACACACACACACACCAGCACACAGCACACAGCACACAGCACACAGCACACAGCACACATCACACAGCACACAGCACACAGCACACAGCACACATCACACAGCACACAGCACACAGCACACAGCACACAGCACACAGCACACAGCACACAGCACACAGCACACAGCACACAGCACACAGCACACAGCACACAGCACACAGCACACAGCACACAGCACACAGCACACAGCACACAGCACACAGCACACAGCACACAGCACACCACACCACAGCACACAGCACACAGCACACACACACAGCACACAGCACACAGCACACAGCACACATCACACAGCACACAGCACACAGCACACATCACACAGCACACAGCACACAGCACACAGCACACAGCACACAGCACACAGCACACAGCACACAGCACACAGCACACAGCACACATCACACAGCACACATCACACATCACACAGCACACAGCACACAGCACACAGCACACAGCACACAGCACACATCACACAGCACACAGCACACAGCACACAGCACACATCACACAGCACACAGCACACATCACACAGCACACAGCACACAGCACACAGCACACAGCACACAGCACACAGCACACAGCACACAGCACACAGCACACAGCACACAGCACACAGCACACAGCACACAGCACACAGCACACAGCACACATCACACAGCACACATCACACATCACACAGCACACAGCACACAGCACACAGCACACAGCACACATCACACATCACACAGCACACAGCACACAGCACACAGCACACAGCACACAGCACACATCACACAGCACACAGCACACAGCACACAGCACACAGCACACAGCACACAGCACACAGCACACAGCACACATCACACAGCACACACCACACAGCAGGACTCACCTGTCCACGTACTGCCTGCTCGTCAGCACCACCTCTGCTGCACCCTTAGCCTTAGCCACCACAGCCGGCAGCGGCTGCAGCCCTTCCAAGGCCTCCCTCACTGTCGCCTCTGATATGCCCCGCGCCACTGCCTCGTCCCACACACCCTGAAGCCAGATCTCGTACTCCACCTCCTCCCTCTCCCTCTCCCTTTCCCTCTCCTTCTCCCTCTCTCGTTCTCGCTCTTTCTCCTTCATTTCTCGGTCTATCTCCCTTCTTCTCTCCCTTGCCATCCTTGCCTCTTCTCTCCCTCTCTTCACTTCCTTGGCTTCTGTTGTTGCTCCGCTCACTGCCCTCACTCCCTCCCTGCCTCCCTCCCACGCTCGGTGCCTGCTCATTCTCTCCTTCAGCAAATAAGCCTCTCCACTACTACTACTGCTCCTGCTGTTGCTGCTGCTGCTGCTAGCTACCCAATTCGCCCCTCCTCTTCTCCTTCTCCTCCCACTCTTCAATCTCCACCAGCGCTGCTCCCCATGCTCCTCGTGCTGCTCCTCGTGCTGCCCCGGGTGCTGCTCCTGCTGTCTGCTCAACCCCCCAGTCCACGACACCAGTTGCCCCTGAGTCATCGCATCATCCTGCAACACTCCCCCTTGTTCAATCAACACGGCTCGTACCCAAACCTCTCGGCGTTGCCACGCCCCTTGATGCCCCCCTCTTCTCGCCCCTTCAAGCGACCTTTGGCTCGCCTCAAATGTCACCTTCTGCTCCCCACGTCTCAACCCTCCCATCCCTCCTCCCCTCCCCCTCCCAGCCCCACCAACAGCAGCAGCAGCAGCCGCAAGCAGAGCCACGAGCAGCACCAGCGCAGCCACTACGGATCCGAACCATCGGGCAGCATGGGCTATGCCCCCCCCTGCTAGCTGCTTCCCTACCATTTCTTTCAGTGCCGTGGCACACGCTGCTAGGACTGACGCCCACCACTGCTGCAGCTGATGCAAGCCAAACCCCCTCTTTCCCTCCTCCTCCTTCGCCTCCATTCCCTTCTCTCTTTCCTCCTCTTTCACCGCCACTCTCTCTTCCACCACCCCTTCCTCCCTCCCCGCCCCCTCGTCTGTTGTCATCCATGGAGGCCCGCCTTCCTGGAAGCTTCTAAAAGGGTCTGTAGGGCCCTCCATTCTGCCATCTCTACCTTCTATACTCACACCACCAGCCTTGCCACCACGTTTTCCCCCGCTGTAGTCACCACTCCCCTCCCTCGCAACACCATTCTCTCCCCCGTTACAATCACCCCCCATACAATCACCAGCACACGCATCACCACCACCTGCAGTCACAACTGTAGTAGTGGCATAACCATCAGCTCCCACCACCACAACAGCAGCAGCACCACCACCACCACCGGCCACACCATACCTCCGCCTGGCGAGCTGGCGAGCCAAGGCCGCACTGCCACCACCAGCACCACCAACCATCAATCCACCACGAGCAGCAGCGGCAGCCGCGGTGGCAGCAGTAGCAAAGAGTGACAGGCTGGCAGCAGTCGCTGCCGCTTTTCTCAACGCCCGGGTTTGCTGGGGAGTGGCGGCAGCAGCGCTTGCAAGTGTTTCAGCTGCCCCTGCCAGCCCCCCTTTGACTTGTTGACCAGTGCGTTGACCCAGGTCAAACACAGCAGTCGGCAGTTGACTCAACTGCTGACCCAACTGCTGCCCAGCCTTGCGCGTTGCCGTGTCTGCAGCAGGCCTCGGAGAATCATCCAGTTCTACTTGATTCTGCTCTGCCAGCCTGCCCTTTATGCGTTGACCAGTGCGTTGACCCAGTTCAAACACAGCAGACGGCAGTTGACTTAACTGCTGACCGGCGTTGCGACTTGCCACGACTGCCAGCCTGCCCTTGACGCGTTGACCAGTGCGTTGACCCAGCTCAAAAACAGCGTCTGCAGTTTTCCCCAATACTTGAGGCGCCTGACCAACAGCACCCACCGCTCTCCGCACTCTTTCAGGCGCCTGACCAACCAGACCAGCAGCTCTCCTCACAGCGGCTGCAACCGCTGCTCTCTTGCTTCTGACACTACCACCACCATCACCCTTGTCCATTTGACTCGTTTGACTCGTTTGATCCTGTCGCACCCCATTCTGGCTCCTTCCAACTTGGCTCGTTCCTAAACTCTCTGCTGCAGCACCGTTCTCCTCTCTCTCAGTCGCCACCCCTCCAAGCCCCTCCCCTCTCCCCTCCTCCTCCGCGCCCTCTCCCTCAACTCCCCCTTCGGCAATCCCTGAGCTCACACCCCCCTGCACCTCATCTCCCACAAGAGCTGACTCTTGAAGCGCCTCAGTACTCCCCGGCACCGCACCCCTCCCAAGAGCTGCCGTGTGCGTCCCCTCAACAGCACTCTGCTGCTCTTTCGTCTCCAACCGCGCCCGCACGTTCGTCAGCAGCTCACCACCGGCTCGTCGTTTCTCCGCGAGTTTCTGCCTCAGGCCGCTCAGAGAATCGCCAAATCTGGCCCTTTTAGACTGACGGCGCACGCCAGAGTCAGGCTTTTCATACTGCTCCACCTCCCCCTCCCTTACTAGCTCTCTCGCTGGCCGCTCGTCCCCAAGCTCCTCCCCCTCCTCTGTGCCATTGCTGGAAAGTGCGGAATGCGGCCTTTGAGACGACTCATAACGAGGCCCGCCAGAGGAGACGAATCGAAGTGAGGACGATGCGGGTGTGGCACAGAGGAGACGTGCGCGGCCGAATGGACGACCGATGCTGCAGGGGTTTGTGGTGTGGTGGGAGAGGGGGTTGAATGCCTGACGCACGCCAAATAAATGGCTGCCGCCGCTGCTGCTGCTGCCGCTGCTGCTGCCGCCGCCGCCGCCGCCGCCACTGCTGCTGCTGCTGCTGCTGCATCTGCTGCTGCTGCTTCTGCTGCGGGGATTCGTGGCAATAATGAAGCGGGGTGTGACAATAAGCGGAAGGTGGCTGAATCGGGAGGAAGGATGGAGCCACGCAAGGCGGCAGGTGGAGTCAACAATAGCTGCTGCGGACGCAGCGGCCATCACGGCGGGGACCACGGCGGTGATCACGGGGGTGATCGCGGCTTCCTTGGCGGCGTAGTAGCTGCGTAGTAAGAGTGGTATTATAACGTCCGCAGACGTTACAGGTATTCTGAAGCCATGGAACTCAACAGCTTGGGGCTCGGACGCGCGGGGTATCAAGCCAGGTCTACTTGGTCACTCGAGCCTCCAAAGGGGTGAACCTGGCGAAAGTCCCCTCGGGAACTTCGGCCCGGGCGGTGCTGAGGGGGAGTGACGGGAGGCTTCGGTAGAATCGCTAGCTATGGGTACGTCGGCGTCGTGCGGGTTCCGGAAGCCGCTGCCGAACCGGGCCTCGAACTTAGACAAATGAGGTAAATTTCCCTGTCTTGCCGTTCGTCGTTCATGCCTCTGCCCATGGAGGAATAGCGTGCTCCCACTTTCAGGCTACGCGGCATCTTGATTCCGCTCGCCTCGTCTCGTCTAGTCTCGTCACACTCGCATTTCGTCTAATTTCTTTCCAAGAGTAAATTTGGATGATGTTGGCCATGAGCTGCTTGCCTGCTTCTGCCTTTCTTTCTGTATCGAATTGCTCCGATATGAGCGCATTCCTCAGTGGGTGTAGTGTTGTTGTAGGCTTGTAAACGCGTACCGAGATTGTACTCACTAACGAGCATGATCGCACCTCCCCGGCAGTCACATGTTGTCATCCGTACGAATCGCCAGGAAGGAAGTTCGCCAGTGTGCTCATTGGATAGCGCTCTTTCGCGAGCCTCGTTTAACTCGGGGTTACTGTATCTGGCGCAAAGCACTCGATTCGAGAAATCGCGTGGTGCAGTGCGGTGACCGGTGACAAGTTCGAGGGTTCCACAGCCGAGTCAAACACCGCTGGAACGGAGTGTAGCGAGCTGGCTTTTGTCTTGTCAGGTTTACCTCAGGAGAAAAGGCAGAGCAGACCCACTCACTAGTCAGTGACGAACAGCCATTTACCTCTTAAGGCCAGGGTCTCAAGTACCTCAACTGTTTTGCAGTTGGACTCAGGGAGTTGGTTGGGATTGACTGATGACGTGCAAAGTGTGGTTGGAGGTTTGACGACGGGTGGCGAGTTTGATTGGGTTTCGTTTTTACAAAACCTAACCAGCTAGGCACGGGCTTGGTTCGGTTACCAAGCCTACAACGGCCCCAAACCCCCGTGGAAACTCAAAAGTATCGAGTACTTGGACGTTGTTTTGCAAACTGTCTTGGGGCGTCAGGGGTTGTGTCGCACAGCAGGCAAATTGTGATTTCGCGCACTCAAAACGGGGTAACCACGCAGCAACTGTTTTGCAGTTGCTGCCAGATCACAGTACTTGAGGGGCGTGTGTCTTATGGTTCCGGAACTTGGGCTGGTTACACAGTTCGCAGCACATTTCGACAGGGCTTCGTGAGATCCTCCCCGGGCAAAATCTTCGCCAGTTCCGGAACTAGTTCCGGAACTTCCAGAAGCGGAACCGTAAGACACACGCCTTTACTATCTCCTTTTACGATGTCCGTCGGATCGCAGATCGAACGGCTACCCGACGAGCTGCTTTCTTGGATCCTGACTTTTCTTGTTCGATCCGACGGCCAGCTGGAGCACGCGCTTGTCTGCAAGCAGTGGCATCGCATCGCTTGTCGCTTGCAAGACCAAATCCACGAGCCTCACCCTCAACGTGGCAGGACTTTCAGTGCTGCCCGAAGATATCGGGCAGCTATTGCAGCTTCAAACTCTCCTGTTGAATCTGACGAGTCTCGCGAGCCTTCCCGCTTCCATCGCTCTTGTTATAACGCTTTAGGAGCTTTTGATAAATTCTCTTCCAAACCTGACATCTCTGCCCGAGGAGTTCGAGCAGCTGAATGCTCTGGAAACCCTGTGCGTGAAGACCCTTCCACAGGTGGCAAACCTGCCCGAATCCCTCGGGCATTTGGCAATGCTCCGGGAACTTAGAGTACTGGAATGTCAGCTGCTACAGCAACTCCCCAACTCCCTGCACCAACTATCTTCCCTCGAGCACGTGGAGATCAACGATTGTCCGAGGCTCACTGCGCTACGAGATGGCCTGGGGAATGGTCTGCACCGCCTGCGCCAACTTCACATGGTGCACTGCACGGCTCTCACCCACCTCCCTCCGTCTCTCTCCAGCCTGACCTCTCTCGAAACCCTGAATATTCTTTACGCATGGCGCTTCAGAGGCGCCCTACCAGACGGCCTCGGCTGCCTGAAAAGCCTTAAGGAGTTATCTCTCCGTGGCTTGCCACGCCTATCTACCCTCCCTGCCTCCTCCTCTGGCCTTCTCGCACTCACCAGCCTGGAAGTCGCAAACTGTGTCGCGTTGCCTGCGGGAAGACATGAGTCTTCCCCCGGTTAACATAGCAGCAAGGGGAGTGGTGAGATGAAGCAGAGAAGAATTGGGGAAGAGATTGAGTGAATAACAGAATTATAAGGTGTGACGGGAAGAGGTACAGTAAGCACTGTACAAGTTCGGTAATGAGCGGAAGGATCGAGGCGCGGGAAGAATGAAATGTCAAAGCATCGAGGCGTGAGCTGGAAGGAGGTGGAGGGCGTCAGCAGGGGCCCAATCTGACGTGAAGATGGGCCAAGGGAATCTCAGTTCCCGAAGCAAGGAATGTGAAGGGGTTGTTGGTTTTTGTTCGTATGTTTTCCTTCTATACTGCAATTCGCTCTAAGCCTATTAGAGTCTAGCAGTGCGGGAATTTGATCCTAAGTAGATCCGAGCAGGCATCATGTGGCTTGTAACATACTAGCAAAAATCGATTGAACGACCACTGAGGATAGCGATCGAACTAGCGGTGGGACGAAGACGAATAGCGCGGAAGAGCGTGTCGGGCCGCACGCTGCGATGAGTCGGGAGACGAGTCCTGAGGGACATCGCCTAAGATCGGGGACCAAAGTACCCATCAAGGAGTGTGCAGGAGGATATGCAGCCTCCTCTACATCCGGTCCATAGCGCTGGGCCACATGAGCCCGAAAGACGTGAAGCGGAAGCTTCAACGACGACGAGAAAAGGAGTCTCGCGCGGGGAAGACATCGGATCGCCAGATCCACAGGGTTGCGGCGGGTCGGGGATGAATTTGCACAGAGGAACGCCAGGTCGTGGAGAGAGAGCGCGTGAGCAAGTGGAAACGGAAAGGAAAAAGAGTTGCGGCAGAACGAGCTGCTGAGAGAACGCGGGACCAGATCTATGCAAGATCGAGCGGCGGGAGGTTACTCGGCAGGAGGAGGAAGAGCGAGTTCGTGGGAAAGCGGACGGTCAGCAGTCGCAAATGTCCCGAAGATCGAAGAACCAGAGAGATTCTCAGGCGTGCCAGGTGAAGAGCCATCGCTAAAGAACTACATCATGTTGATCGATGGCATCTGCTATTGCTGGGATCGAGAGGGGTTGAACCCAGTGGAATTCTTTTGAGGATTGGGAAAGACACTCTGGGGGGAGGCGCAAATGCAGTATCGAGTAGAATGGGCAAGGCTGTTGCGACAGTATGAACAATGAGAAATGCTGCCTCGCAAGATTGTAGATCGGTTTTATGACATCCTCAGAGAGCAATTTCCAGGCGATACGGCAGACAGAGTAGCAGAGTTTAGTGACTTTTGTAGAGGGAGAAGAGAATCGTTGTTGGCCTACTATAATCGACTAGTGGAGCTATCAGAAGACCTCAACTGCATGGAGGACCAACTCATTGTCACCAAGTTCTTAGGAGGATTAGATAAGGAATTATTCAACGAAATGAGGAGCGCGCTGTATCCAATCTGTTCCAGAGCCACGCTGGGGCAGGTGTATCAAATCGCTAAAGAAGCTGAGGAAGGGAGACGCTGTGTAGACATGATGAGGGGGGCTCGAAGGCCCACGGAATAGATAAGACCGGTATGGTCGGTGACAGAAGCTCCGCGTCCAGAAGAAGAGAGAAGGGAGAGACCAAGAGATGATCGACGCTGTCACAAGTGCGGAGAAGTCGGCCACCTACGCAAGGATTGCGTGGTGGGCATCACGCGTGACCATTGTGGGCAGATGGGCCACTTTAGGAGAAACTTCCCCCAGAGCTCCCACCTGCAGTGAGTGCGGAAAGAAAGGACACCTCAACAGCCAATGCTACAAGAAAGGAAGACAAATGGGGAGATCGACGAGAAAGCAAGAGCTGGAGCAGGAAGTGAAGAAGCTGAGAGCGCAGCTGGAAAAAGCGGAAATTAGCGAAGACCTGGAGAAAGCAATGATGGCTTGGGAAGATGATGATGCTGATGAGGAAGAAGACCAAGAGTCCGAGTATGCCCTGGTGGCGACACTACCAAGGGATAGGAGTGACCTGGGACTGCGGAGCGGCGGGGTAGAGGGGAGGAAAGAGCACAAGACCGAGGCGCGGAGGAAGAGGCCAGGAAGGGAATCGGAAGAGATGGGAGAGCAAGCCAAGCGCCATCCAGAAGAAAGGCTGGTGTGCCACACCACCGCACTACTGGCTGAAGCGGGCACCATAGCTGTGCAGGGAATGAAAGTGGAATATGCTATGATTGACATGGGAGCTCAAAGTGTCCTGATGGGGAGAAAGTTGGCAGAGCTGTTGAGGGAGCAAGGGAAGTTGGAGACAGTGAGTAAGGGAGTGCTCATCATGACTGTAGAAGGCGGACCACCCATGGATGCCTAGCACAAAGCCAGTTCAGATCACGCTGCTGTCGGGGCAGAAGGAGGAGACCCAGATTCGAGTGCAGTGCGGGCTCTCCGAGTCAGACGACTACGACCTGCTGGTGGGGATGGAGTTGATTTACAAGATCGGAGCGCAAATTGATGCGTGGAGAGAGAAACCGACTTTCAGAACCAAATATTGGAAGGAGGGCGAGGTGCAGGGAGAGCTGCCAGTGCGATTTGTGAAGATGGAGCCAAGAAAGGCCCTGCGAGCTGCAGAGCCAAAGCTAGCAGCCAAGGAGGAGAGAAAGGCAAAGGGCACAAGAGCAGCCAAGAAGGGCAGAAAGGAAATACAAAGACTGTAGGCAGGAGCAGCGCTGGGCGAAGGGCCAATCACAATAGTGGAACTCTTTGGATGAATAAGAGCGGGATTAGCAGCGGCACTGGAAGCAGGATTAGTCGTGCAAAAGTGGATCTTGGTGGAGATAGATCCAAAGGCCAGGCGTATGGCCTGGCATCATGCAGACCAGTTGGTGAAGAGGTATCCGGGGCAATTATGCAGGGCCGTGATTGAGGAGGCGAAGAAGGAAGAAGCCAGGGATGTACGACAGCTGAGCGAGGCGACTGTATGGGGATGGGGTCAAGTAGATCTGGTGGTGGCAGGCTGGGAGCGTCAAGGCACCTCAAGAGCCAGAAAAGGGCGGGGAATGGGAGATGCGTGCACAGGGTTATTGGACGAGCTTTTACAAGTGCTGAAGTGGATCAAGGAAGGGGGATCAAGGTGCTGCTATGTGGTGGAGCATATAGACATGGCAGGGGGCTCACAAGAACCAGTGAGAGCGACGCAAGAGAAGGTAGTAGCGGAGGTGGGGG